GACTTTAGCAAGGTTAGTATTAGTACATGTACGTACATGTATTTAGATCTGAAGGGTTGTGCTGATTTGTTGACATTTGTGGTATAAACTGTCTTGTATTATTTATATATGAAAGTTCGTCAGCGCATGACACGTTTTAGATACCCAGTAAACATAACCTCGTGGCTCAGCTAGTTTTAACCGCAATACAAAACTGTAGGCCGGATACCTGCCAGTTTTTCGGCTACACATATGGTCCTGATATTGCTGTTTTTTTTTCTGTGTATCTTTTTTTTAAAAGAAAGTCTATTTTACCCCGCATCTCTAATCCATTCATATATTAACTTACATGATGTATAAGGGGTCATTCGGTCGTAATGTGATAGCAATAACAAAGTGCTTGGTAACTTAGTGGCCTAGTTTATAGGCACCTAGACCACCTACGTACGGTAATGGCTCGACCATTTCAACCAGGAGTCAACTTTTCAGATATGTAATTTTGGAATCATTTTATTGTATATATCGAAAATTATAAAACTAAAAGGTAGACTATTTTCTATTGTTTTGCTCCCAATCAGCATTGAATGTTCTAATTTTAAGAATTTAAAATTTAGAATGGCCTCTCAGTGACATACAATGACATTCATTGCGAGACCATTAAAGGAATACGCGGTTTTCCTTTCATGTAGGTCCGCCATATTTAGGTCTCGGCCTTGCTAGACCTCGGCTTATCTCGATGTGAATGCTCTCATATATGTAATAAACATTTTTTTTCAGATCCCAATTAAACGGCCGGTTTTCATTATTGGCCCCTGTCGTACTGGAACTACTTTCCTCCAAAACCTCTTATTCTGCGATCCGCAGAATACATGCCTCAAGTTTTATGAACTTTTGCAACCAGTTGCAGATGTTGCTACCGTCACCGAAGACCCACGAATTTTGAAAACTACACAAAGATTAGGTATGTATTATTGTAGTGACTTACAATGAGTCTAAGTAATTGTAACATATTGGATGATTGTCATTCTGTACGACTGAGCTATAAAACAGCTCTCTATAGCTTATGTGTACACATGTAACAGATATTTGAGTTTGCATTTAATACGAAGGATATTTTGATGGCATTAAAACCACAAGACATTTTGCCTCAGTATCTTAGCTGTTAACCTTTTTTTTAAATGTTAGTCACAAGTGATATTTGTAGGATATTTTGATTGCATTAAAACCACAAGACATTTTGCATCAGTGTCTTAGCTTTAAACCTCTCTCATATGTTAGTCACAAGTGAAATTTGTAGGATATTGTGATGGCATTAAAACCACAAGACATTTTGCATCAGTGTCTTAGCTTTTAGCCTCTCTCATATGTTAGTCACAAGTGAAATTTGTAGGATATTTCGATGGTATTAAAACCACAAGACATTTTGCATCAGTGTTTTAGCTTTTAACCTCTTTTATGTGTTAGTCACAATTGGATTCAGGTGTTGAAAACAAGGCAGCAATGCTTTCAATACTACAGACAAAGAGCAGAAAATGAGGATGCTAATGACAAAGTTTTTGTCGATTCTGGTGCAATACTGCAAAAAGAGGCGTAATCGATCATTTATGTGCTACAGGTAACAAGGACATTTTGAAAACGTTAATACCATCGGGCTTAGTGTCACACATTGAAAATTCCAATATGTGAAAAATGACGAGAACATAAAAACATAAGTTACATGATGGTTTACCGTGCCTCTGTAAAATTGCCTCCAATTTTCAATAATGAACTAAATGCAACGCGAACATGTCCTAACATGTCCTATAACAGATACATGGCGATGACAGACACACGTGGTGGCTACAGAAATCCTGTGACCAGCTTTTAAATATGCATTCATTACAATGACATAACTATTCATTATTTAGACACGATGTACGCCTCCAGACCGGATTTGGAAACCATCCACCCCCAGAAGGGTTTAGCTCCGGAAGAAGATTTATTTCTATTCCATAACGTTGGTGTGTACAAGAATTTTGTTTTTAAAAGCGGAAACTGTGAGACGTAGGCCTATATAAAATAGATGGAGACCCGGGCCAACGATGAAATGGTTGAAGCTTATCGTTTCCACAAACTGCAGACTCGATCAGCTCATACTTCATAGCAGAGGTGGGCCTTTCAACTGGTTTAAAGTTGCAAATAATTGCTTCGCTATATTCTGATGTATTAAAATTCATTAAAATGAATAGGATATGCAAAGTTGTTTTTCCACATTTATAATCTATTGATTCGTTTTTAGTTTTGCGCCAAATCGAATTTTCGTCTTAAAAAGAGCAGTTATCACCTTTTCATTAGTTATAATCAACCGGGCCCTTAATTTTTAAACAAATAACTTCTTGATTCATATAGACAGCTACAGGCATTTTAATTTTCGAGAAAAAGTTATCGATATCGGTTTTTTTTTTAATGCTGTTACTGCAAAACAAACGCTGTTTTGTAGATATGATGATCAAAGTTTATTATAGTGAATGTGGAGCGCTTTGGTTACTCGTCCATGAACGGTGTAGCTTAAGCATACGGTCCAAAACTACAAAAAAATATATAAAAATAAACAATATTAAATAAATGAATTGTTAATATAGTATATCATTAAGTAGAATGTAACAAATATGTGATGCTTACTTTTTACGCCCCTTCTTATATACATGTAGTTCATAACGTGTCCACCTGTGCCGTTCAATCGTTCATAGCATTGTTCATATATTAAGTGCGCATTACCATTCTGCGCACATCCGGTGCATTTACAAATGCTAATATATCTATTTGTATTGTTTGACTTGGAAATATTACTGATTTGCAGGATATTTGGAGATAAAACTGACACCTTGGAACATTTTTCACACTTGTATAGTATGCATTTACATAACGAAAATATAACTTAATTCTGGACGAATTTATATCAATTAACAAGCAAATGATTGTTTCGGTTTCAGAATCTGATGATACTAACATGCGAATGGTATTTAAGGATAATTTCCACAATCTGTATTTGGATTCCCTACTCAAGGTGTATCCTGAAGCAATCTTCGTTCACACCTCCCACAATCCATGCTCCACCGTGGCTTCCTTTAGTTCTTTTCACGAAACCCAAAAGCGTTTGTTCTATGAGAAACACGACATTGACGTAAAGCAAATTGGCAGGGAGGTTTTAAATTGGTCACTCTTCCACGGTGGAATAGAGATGATGAAGTTTAGGAAGAACCACCCAGAACTGGAGCACAGATTCATCGATGTTGCGTAGGCGAAGACCTCGTTACATCACCTATGGATGTTGTGAAGAAAATATACGATCATTTTGGCCTGGAACTGACCGACCCGAGAGAAACGTCAAATGGAGGCTTATGTAAAAGAAAATCAACAAAACAAATATGGCCGTCATGAGTATGACTTAAAGCGTTATCACTTGACAAAAGAGGAAGTTTTGAAGCACTTTAAAGAATATGTGGAGGAGTACAAAATACCATGTTCATAATCAGTGTTAAATTTCATCGGCTTTCATATAGTTGAGATTTTTTTGGATATTTTGATGGCATTAAAACCACAAGACATTTTGCTTCAGTATCTTTGCTTTTAACCTCTTTTATATGTTAGTCACAAGTTGATTTAGGTGTCATCGGAATTGGCTCCAAACATTCAATTGTACTCAGAAGAATTTATATTGGATAATTTATTTTAATATTTATATCTTTAAAAATAAAACCTTCGAAATAACAGGGCGTTCATAATTGAATTTGCGCTTGTGGTGAAGAAAAGAAACTCAATAACTTTAAAAAATACTAGTTAATGTACCTTTTTTCTGAACATTATCAGAGGGACGTAACTCTAACAGGAGGAAGATGTACAACAATACCTATACTTTCCTTGTGCCCTGTGAAGGTTTTGTCAAAATTCCCTTCACTCTAAATAAACTCTAATTTTCAAAAATAAAGCCACTTAATGAAGATGTCTCAAGTTTCAAAAATTATTTTCAGCTGATCAGTACAACGTGTATGTGGCTAGTTAAGAAATCAAATAATTTATAAAAGTTCGCCACTAGCACCTAGAGTTTCAGACGTGGAAAAACGCCTGCAATAAATAAAAACTAAATCCAAAGAAATATGAAAAGATCATGCTCAGATAGCCTACTGCCAGGACCAAAAAAAAAAATTGTAGATTTACATCACTTTGTTCACTCGCTCTCGGTAATTATCACACATCCCGTACCTAGCCGATTCCATTTACTGCTTTCTGTGACAGGTAAACACGACATGAAGGACTATTTCCCACCACATTGTTATATCTTTGTGCTGGTCATGACGTTGCATCATCAAACTTCCCAATATTAGGGTTACACTGAAAGTGGGTAAAACGCGTCAGGCAGTTCTAGGGAGCAAGGGTATGGGTTTTATTGACTTAAAGTCCCCACAAATTTTTCTTCCCCTTAACTTTACTTTAAGAGGTGGGATTGCCTCTATTCCAAAGCCCCGTTTACCTTTTCTACGATCAATGGTCGCCAAAGCGATTTTAATTTAAAAATTGTTTTTCAGTGTAAATGCTTCTGCGTCTCTTGTGCGTCCTTTGTTCAACATGTTCAACTCTTTAGGGGCGACCAAGGCGTCCTCGGCGCAGCTTGAACGACCTTTGTGTGATCACCGTGCGTCCTTTGTGCGTCCGACGGCGACCAGCTGATCAGTTTCGTGATGGTACATAAGCCTCAGAAAGGACGCCGCCCAGTGAAAAGGGGGTTTAAAATGTGTAACCTTGAGAAAAGATTAATCATTCTTTAATAATTAATCAAATTGGGTCAAGTGTGAGTGCTCAGCTGGTGCACACATGATACTCAGTCTTGTTAGCCTCTCTGCGTTGCTGGGGTGGACAGACTAGATTAAACTAAACAAACATTGATAAATCTACATAAACGACTGGCTTTCAGACTATTTGATACAGATATCTCCCTGGCGTTATCGTAGTATAGAAGCTCCTTGGGATATATATACGTATCCAGTACATGTTTTGCATTTTGTGGTGCCATATCCCTATATCGCATAATGTCTCAAGGACAGCCTTTTCCTCTAACAGAGGAAAGTATTTTTGCACATTTCTCCCAAGAAGACCGCGAGTTGCTGTTGTCGGATACCCTCACCGGCCGCTGGTGGTATGAAGGATTTACCTTATTATTGAGGTGCTTTCGTGAAGACAAAAATTTAACTTCGGCAGGGAGACAGCGGGTTGAAGCTCGCTTGGTTGATGTCCTTAAAAACCGACTAGCGATTTCAAGACGACTGCGGTCAGTTGACTTAAGTAAGGTTAGTATGTGTCGGCTAAAGGGTGAGCCTCGATCTCGTTTCAAACCATTTCCATAATTAACAGTATATATACTTATTAAATGTACGTAAATATAGAAGACCGTTAATCACACTTAATGTGCTAATTTTTCTTAAGTCGTCAGTAAAAAGCATAAGTTTGTGTCCACGTGAAACAATTGATAGGCCTACATTCTAAACAATAGGAAAACCAGTATTGCCGGTAATAAGGCTACTTTGACCTTGATCTTTTGCAATAGTTTACGATAGTTCAAGGTCACAAGAGAGGATGCAGATGCGTCCATTTGACTGCTCCATTTCTCTGCCTTAAAACTCACTTTTTCTTTTAATTTGAATATTTGGGACTTATATAGAGCCGTGCACCGTTAGAGCGTGACATGCCAAATGATAGAAAACGGTACAGGCAATCCTAAAATCGTGCATGTATATGGTTACTAGTTACTAGTAAAACTGCAGAGGTCTGTGTTGTCATTATATGACAAAATACCAATTTCGTCACAATCTTTGCTGTGAATGGATACTGTTTTTGCCCACTAGGTTTTACTTATGTCTCAATTTAATTGCTTGCCAAAGAGTTAATATTTTGATTGATCTTTTAAATCATATAGTTCGGAAGATGCCCTGTGACCAATTTTATTCATTTATTGATACCAGAGATAATGTAAACTTTTTGCAGTTTTCAATCAAGAGGCCAATTTTCATCATTGGACCTTGTCGAACTGGGACATCTTTCCTTCAAGAACTGCTATTTCAAGATCCCCAGAATACGTCCCTAATGTATTATGAAGTTCTTCATCCAGTTGTAGATGTCGCCACTGTCGGCACGGATCCGCGTATTTTGGAAGAAGAGCAAGCACAAGGTCAGTGGCAGATGACAACTTAAGCGGTAGACCTTTAAATACTAGTAATATAACAATACTTTTACTGATGATTTTAGTGACAGTAGTCACTTACTTTGGACCAAAATATTAGTGAAACAGCTACATTTCGTTCCTGAGTGAGGTTCCCTTGCTGATAAAGGAAAGGCTACCGAAAATAGTCGGAAACTTTTCTTCCTAAGTTCTTACAAACATTTTAAACAGTAAAGTTATGGCATTATCTTTCTATTCATACCCGGAATATCCTGTAGAATGTCAATAAATTGAGAAAATCTCCACTTTCATCAAAAAGTGACGTAATCTGTGCTTGCATAGTCTTTTTGTTTTTCACTGAAAAATAAGACCTCCCTCTTTCAGCCTCGATGTAAATTAAAAAACCTCCCTATTTCAGCCTCGATGAACGAGACCGTGCCACAGATGAAAAGCATTCACAAGATGGAAGCTGGAAGTCCATACGAGGGACATCACCTCTTTGAAAACATCGGCGTGTTCAAGGCACCTGCTTTCCAAGGCGGCAACAGTGGAGAGTATGTCACGTGGTATGAGGCAAGAACCAATGAGGAAATGGCTGAGGCATACCGTTTCCATAAACTGCAAACACAGCTTATACTCAATGGTAGAGGTGAGATTTTACTCAACGCCTGAGGCGAGGGGGAGCAATGGGTTCGAAACCAATTAAATACCCTTTTGTCTAAAAAGTTCTACTCTGAAACAAACATTGATCTAAACACTGTCATGCCTTAAGTAAGGTCAACTAAGGAGGTAAAAAGGTCCGCAATTGTTTAAAAAGACCCCCTTTTGAAATTGTTGGTAACTGATCAGTTATTAACTTTAATTTGGATATACGTTTGCATCTAAAGTTACATGTACGTGGTATACAAACATCTGCCTCAAATTTGTGGAAACGTTTTTGTTAATATCTCGCATATCGCACTTGCATTTTCCAACTCAACTCTGTTTCAAAGGTTGATCAAAAAATTAAGTTTAGCTGATACCCCCCCCCCTCCCCCCGAAACATTACGGTGCTGGATTTAAATTGGTGCTCGCTTTGGTTTCAGCAGCTGCTTCCAGTTCCCGTCGAATGGTCTTTAAGGAGAATTACCACAGTCTTTACCTGGATGCCATACTCAAGGTGTATCCAGACGCAATCTTCGTTCACACCTACCGCAATCCGTGTACATCCCTTGCTTCACTGTGTTCTCTCCGTGAAACTTACAAACTTCTAGCATATGAACAGTGTGATATAGATTTAGAGCAACTTGGAAGGGAAGTGTTGAATTGGGCATTTCTCCACGGTGGAACAGAGATGATGAAGTTCAGGAAGAACCACCCAGATTTGGAGCACAGATTCGTCGATATTGCGTTTGACGACCTCGTTACATCACCCCTGAATGCTGTGAAGAAAATATACGATCACTTTGGCCTGGAGCTGACTGACCAAGGGAAAGACAACATGGAGGCGTATGTGAAGGAAAACCCACAAAACAAACACGGCCGCCACAAGTATGACCTGAAGCGTTATCACCTGACGGAAGAGGAAGTTTTGGGGCATTTTAAAGAATATGTGGAGGAGTACAAAATCCCTTGCTGATTTATAATCATTGTTTACACTAATTGCCAGAAACATATTTGGAATGGCTTAGATTCACCAACGACTGTAGCAATTTTGAAATAAGTACATGTGCTTCGACCACAAAATCGAGTGACTATTTAAATAACCTACAGTTAGTTACCAAAAATATCAGTTTTGGAATATTTTTACTAATATTATTATTAATTATTATTAGGTTCTCTGAAGTGGCACTTAGGGTCTTATTTGGAGATCGTTGGCTTAAAGAGACTTATGTTTTCGCTTTTAAATATGCTTGGCATCCGACGATCACCTGACCAAACCAAATACCGATTCATATATAGCCATGGTTAATCATACATCAATTTATCTTCATTATCTATTGCACAATTTGCCAATTGTAAAATAACAAGTTTCTGGAGTATCGCTTTTAAGATTAGAACCGTGAATTAGAACCGTTCCAGTTTTGGGGTCCGCTTGTGTGCTTTCCAGCGCGCGCGTGACGGCGCTTTTACGTCAATCCGAGAAAAATGTGCAGCTGCTGGGCAAACTTACTCTTTGTCCAGTTTTAGGCTACGGTAAAGCTAAATCAAGGGGGACGTGTCTGAGCATCTGAGCATGTAAATGATAAAAATTGATGACCCACTAACCAATTTACATACTCAGACACGCCCTATGGATTCATCTTTGTGGTTGTCATCAAGGTTTTTGCAATGTACAATGGAATTTTTCTTTTCAAAGATAAAAACGATATACAGTTGTTTTACTGGAATGGATAATATCCTTCAGCGAATTTGCACACTCAGACATGCTACCTGGATTCAACTATGTGGTAGTCATCAAGGTTTCTCAATGTAAACAGAGACTTCTACTAGTATATTCAAAGTGAATTATGAGATATTGTTTAATTGGAATTGATGGTATCCCTCAGCCAGTTTTCATACTCAGACACGCCCCCTATAGAGTTGATTAATTGGAATTGATGGTATCCCTCAGCTAATTTGCATACTCAGACACGCCCCCTATTGAATAGTTTAATTAGAATTGATGGTATCCCTGAGCCAATTTGCATACTCGGACACGCGTGTGTAGACATTAGGGAACCCCAGTTCTCGGCAGCCACTGTACCCCCACGAGGTGACGCCGGCCAGGACCCAGACGCCGTGGACCTTACACACCAAGGGGCCGCCACTGTCTCCCTGGAATGTAAAAAAGTGTAATATATTTTTCGTAAGCGACCTCTTCATCTTTTTTTAAATACGATGTAAGCCACGTGAATCAGAGTACACGTTAATGTTACAAAGAGTAAGAGTAATGGATTGGTTTTAATATCCATTTAAAAAAGAGCGCTCTTTAAACAGCCATATGTTGAAAACCACGTGTCTCTACTCGCTCTGGTGACCTATTTATAGCGCGTTGAAGCTGTGCATTCTCGCCTATAAAAATGGCTCAAACAGCTGAAAGTAACAAATGGTCGAGATCGAGGCAAAAATCGAACCATTGAGGAATATTTCATCTTTTTGGAACACTGATTTGCGGCACTCAAATTTGTGAGAGGTTAATTCTTTGCAAATTTGGCTCAGGAAATGTACAATATGTAGCCGTTTTTCGCCATATATATATACACACACACTATAGACAATAGAAGTGTCACCCTCTGAATCAAAGTAAAAAGAGTAATCAAAGTTATAATGCCTGGTCTACTTATAATGTGACTAATGAGTATAAAACCGCTGTATAATGGAATTGTATTGTTGGTCTTTTTGTGAAAATGGATGTTTTAACATTAAAATAAAATGATACCAGGAGCATATCATTCCACAGTCATTATTCTCCCCCAAAGTATTGGTTCAGATGGGGTGACACTTCTATTGTCCAGTGTGTGTATATTTATAACTGATTCAGAATTTAAATTCGCTAAAACCCTTCCATTCAGCTTTTATGCAAAAAGAAAATAATAATAATAATAAATCGAACGTTCTGACTGATCTCAGCCTATACCTACCTGACAGGAACCTGCGGAACCATCTCCTATACAAATGTGTGTGTCCTCCAACACGTAGCTTCCCCAGCCTTCCTTGCACTCAGCGTACGTACGAATTATGGTGTTGAACTCCCGGAGGACTTCGTTGCTGACATTGCCTGATGGGAACGCAAAGAAATGAGGAACCGTGTTATGATTTTCTTTATGACCGCATTCACAACCAGTCAATTACCTCGTAATCCTCGCGGGGCATCTTTCAGTTTTGTGCGGCAAACTTTCAAGTGGGTCGGCCATATTTGATCCTCGGATCTCTTGAATTGAATTGAATGCGCCCTACGACGTAATGGGAAGCATGCGGTATCCATACAAATGCACTCTGAGTTTCGTGTAACTGTCGACGAGAGACACGCTGACAATTTTGGTGTACTTCATACAACTCAGGGTGCTTTGAGGGAAGGAAGAACGGGTCCATGAATTGTTTCAATTGTCGGTGGAATTTCTAAATGCGTGGAACCCCTTAAAGGCATAAGGTGTACAGAAATGGGTTTTATCTTGCGTGGGCTATATCATTGTGCGTTCTGCCCCAACTCTAATAATGAGGAAAGTAAATTTGCGTGGCATGCCTTTTCCTACTTTGAAATTTATCCCATCATTGTGGTGTTTTTGCTCATTGTAACACCGATTGGAAAGAAAAAATAATTAAATTGTTCGGGGAGCAAGTAACATGTTAAACCTAGTCGCATACTCTCGCTTGCCATGGTTGCATGCAAGATATGTATATTTATCTGAGATTTAAATCACGCCTCTTTTTCCGCCTTGGAACTGTCAAAACAAAACCTGCATTCACTCACTTACTCTTTGTATCTCCCCATCCAGTGATCCAACAGTCTCCGTTGCCTAGGAACACCTGTCCAGGGGTTGCCACGCATGCGGGCTGCATGGTGCGACTCACCTCGATAGGGGTCGCTAGTTTCATTAAAGCAATGTCATTGGCATAAGTGCCGTAGCTCTTGTAGTTGGGATGCTTTGGAGAAAGATAAATGTTTTTTATTTATTTATTTATTTATTTATTTATATGATATGGGAAGCGACGTCTGGCGTAAAATTCTGGATAACAAACATATACCATAAACTCAAATAACTGATACTTCTTAATTGGAAGTGGCTTTATAGAGAAAAATACGAAACGTACTTCCACTGTCTTTGCCTTTCAATTAAAAGAGTTTTAATGCAGAGATATAAAATTACAGAAAGGGAAGAATCATATCCAATGAAGGTCTACTTACAGCTATTATTTTCCCCACACTGCGACGTATTTCATTGTTGCTTTCCTCCGCCAGGTGGTGCTCACCCAGAACTAACGTCCAATCACCGGGGGCGTTCATTCCAGACCTGGAGATGAATACATGTTGAATGTTCTATGAAGTTATTATGCATACAAGATCTGGATCGAGATAGATGGAAAATTGTTATTTATAAATGTAGAATATTTAATAAAATTATTAATGAAAGTATCTCTCTCACTTTCTCTCTCTCTCTCTCTGATTACATATACGAGAAAGCGAATGAATCAAATTATGGTACAAGGGTGGACAGATAGAAGGACAGTTGGTTCATAGTAAGTACTAGACTTAGACCTACCCGTGGACGCAGTGTGCTGCTGTCACTACCCAATCCTCGTTGACCAGTATGCCACCACACACGTGCTGCCCCCTACTGTTAAGATGAAGTGAGACCTGCCAAGGCCATTCGTGCGCGTCAGCAGTGTCCCCTCCCACAATACGTGAGTTCCCCACCGTGCCGCAAGAGCCTTCGAGAAAATTGATTTTTATATGAATTTTTTCCTCACTAGATCATGAATGATTTAGTGCTCCGTGTGGATACTGCTATCAGGAAGATTCAATAATACGTGTGTTTTTGAAAAAAAAAGGCAAAAACATATAAAATTAAATACTAGTACAACGTAGTATGGCCGAAACCCTTTCACAATCATTAATTAATTAATTTATTGAGTTCTCCCACTTTATTTATGTCTGATTTCCCAAGTTATTTGAAAAAAAAAACAAAAAAAAAAAAAACTAGTTATAATTTTATCTTTACTAGGGCAGTATGTTTAGTTTGCCAGGAACAAAATGTCAAAGTCAAATATAATCAACAGCATTTCACATTGCATTGCAAACAGAGGAGAAATTAATTTAAGGTATTATTCTTTACTGCGCAGCCATCCAATTAGCATCGCCAGAGTGTTCATGAGAGAATGATGGGAAAGGTCACCCTCGTTAGATTCAGTTTTTCGTTTTGCTGTTAATGTCAATTTCAGTTAATTTAAATCCTTTTAATTGTTCCCTAGGTTCCTGAAACTTGTAACACAATTACTTAGAAGCACGTGTTAAGCTGGTGGTAAAAGTTAAAATGCTGTGAACAAGCGTCGTGCATGTTCCAAGAAAATTCTCTGAAACCTAGTGCCTAGTATGTCTACTGGTACAAAAGTACCCTAAAGTATGTATCGTTAAGAACTCAACTGATGATTACTATTATTTGGCTACTTTAAAAAACATTCATACAATGCAAACAGCCGAAAGTGCCATTCGACGATAAAATGAGGAACGTTCCGTATCACCACCTGTCGGACAAGAAAAATTAATTGTTTCGTAACACTGGCTTTATAAAAGCCCCCTGAAGTTATTATACGTACATGAACAGTAATTCTAATAAAGGAAGATTTTTATCCCAAAGCTGTAGCTGTAGAAAAATAGCTAATAGACACTGAATAGTTTCCCGGCGGAGGATACGCGAAAAACTTTCAATTGGGTCGGCCATATTTGATCGGCAGATCTGTTAGTCCTGGGATCAACTTTGTGGTTGTGAATGCGGTGTTGTTGAATTATTATTGTGTAGTCTATACTTCAGGGATCACGGAAAACACTTCTCTTATAAAGAAATGAGTTTGCAGGCTCTTTGAATGTCAGGGTGACTCTGGCCCATTCCATTCTAAAAGGAGCTCTTGGTTAATTATTTGGCGGCTCATTATCATCCCTTTGCTTAATCAGCCATTGTTAAAAACGATATGAACGCGAGGCACAGTTATACTTGCCTTCGTAGATGGAATTCGAAGCTACAGTGGTTGAGTTTTTGGACGGCACGCAGCACACCTTCCCTGCCCTTCTGCACGTGTAGTTGGCGTCAACAATACCGTCACATGATCCCTGCCTCACGCATCTACCTGTGCCTCGGCATCGTAAACCTGAATAGAACATACGTGCGTCTTACGTTTGTAAAACTGCCACCTTACTGCCCCGTTTTAACTACTCTTTTACTTAAAACAGAGTTTTCTAGAGCAGATTCCGAGTTTTTCTTAAAATAAATGGTTTTTAATATGAAAATGAAAACTGGATTTAAAATTTAAAATTGAATGCAAACTGCTCCCCTCTTAAATCGCATTGTGAAATTTGTTGAATTCTTTTTGCTGGACACGTGCCGCTAAACTTCGCATGCTTTAACTTTCATATGGAACTATTTAGAAGCCATATTATTGAAAATAATAAGCAGAAGAATTAACACATACAATGAGCAATATATAACATACCTTGTGACATAGGTGACAGCATTACTGCCAACGCTAGCGTTGTAAGAAACTTCATCGCTAGGTTTCTATTGTATCTCGGTATCTCAAAGTAATATTGTGTAAAGTTAACTTCTTTATATAGGGTCTATAAATGGGTGCACCCAGTAACGAGGGTTAGGACAGAGTGGGGGAATTATTATTTGAGAGGAAGATAAGTGTGTTTCAACATCTAAGGGCAGTAAAGAATGGCGCATTCACATGGTTATGGCTGTTACTTTATCATGCACATGCAATTATGCTATTCAAATTCGGTTCAGGAATTTCAAGATTCATACTCAGATTCTACACATTTTTTTTTATTTTTGACCAAAGCTGGTTAGGGTCTATACAACGTCAACAGTCGATGCCACTGCATTTTCGTTTTGGATATGTGTGTGAGTTGGAAGGGGGTNTAAATAATATTTGTCATAAGCGACCTCCTTATCTTTTTCTTTAATATGATGTAAGCGACATGAATGAGAAATACACGTAGAAGCTTCAATGAATACACGTTTATGTTACAAAGAGTAAGGGTAATGGATTGGTTTTAAAATCTATTTAAAAAAGAACGCTTTTTAAACAGTCACGTGTTGAAAACCACGTTTCTCTACTTCTTCTTGTGGCTTTTTTATAGCGCGTTGAAGCTGTGCATTCTCGCCTGTAAATATGGTTCAAACAGCTGAAGGTAACAAATGGTCGAGATCGAGGCAAAAAAAAAAAAAAAAAAAAACGAATTTAGATCATTGAGGAATATTTCATCGTTTTTTAACACTGATTCTCGCCTCTCAGAATTGTGAGATGTTATTTCTTTGCAAATATGGCTCAGGAAATGTACAATATGTAACCGTTTTTCGCCACATTTATATTTATAACTGATTAGTTCAAAATGTAAAATTCGCTAAAACCCTTCTGTTCAGCTTTTTAAGCAAAATAATAATAATAATAATAATAATAATAATAATAATAAATCGAACGTTCTGACTGGTCTCAGCCTATACCTACCTGACAGGAACCTGCGGAACCATCTCCTATACAAATGTGTGTGTCTTCCAACACGTAGCTTCCCCAGCCTTCCTTGCACTCAGCATAAGTACGAATTACGGTGTTGAACTCCCGGAGGACCTCATTGCTGACATTACCTGATAAGAGCACAAAGAAAAGAAGAATGATGTTGTGATTTTCTTTATGGACACATTCACAACCAAAGTTAATCCGCAAATCAACTTTTTCTGAATACGCCCTACGACGTTCTGAGAAGTATGCGGCATCCCTAGCTACAAATATCTGAACAAGCAACATGTTAAAAATAGTCGCATACTCTCGCTTGACATGGTTGCATGCAACATATGTATATTATTTATCTGAGATTTAAATCACGCCTATTTTGGCGCTTTTGTATTGTCTTTTTCGACGCAAGTCAAAACTAAAACTGCATTCACTCACTTACTCTTTGTATCTCCCCAGCCAGTGATCCAACAGTCCCCGTTGCCTAGGAACACCTGACCAGGGCGTGCCACGCAAGCGGGCTGCATGGTGCGACTCATCTGGATAGGGGTCGCTAGTTTCATTAAAGCAATGTCATTGGCATAAGTGCCGTAGCTCTTGTAGTTGGGATGCTGTGTAGAAAGATGGGTACTTTTATAGTATACCCCCAACCCTGTAACTTTCTGTAACATTAACTTTTCACACAGTTTTTTTACATTGTCTTGTTCATCTATGTCAAAGCTGTTGAAATAAAATGCTTTTGTAATTACCTGTGGTCTTTTTATTAGTTTTAATCACGTTTAATCCAGCCCATTGAGATACAATGTGAGAATCTACAATTTACACCCGCAGTCAATAACTTGCCGGGTTTTCGTTGGCTAACGCTAAGGTAATTTTATGTGAACAAGTAGCTCATAATAATTTCACAGAGGAAGACCAAATATACAATGTATTAATCTTATGTTCACAATTATCTTAGAGTTAAAATTCTAGCTAGTAGTTTTATAAAAAAAAAAAACTTTCACTACTTCCACTGTCTTTGCCTTTTAACTAAAAGAGTTTTAATGCAGAGCTATAAAAAATGCAGAAAGGGAAAAACCATATTCACTGAAGGTCTACTTACAGCTATTATTTTTCCCACACTGCGACGTATTTCATTGTTGCTTTCCTCCGCCAGGTGGTGCTCACCTAGAACTAACGTCCAATCACCGGGGGCGTTCATACCAGACCTGGAGATGAATACATGTTGAATGTTCAATGAAGTTATTATGCATACAAGATCTGGATCGAGATGGATGGAGAAATGTTATTTATAAATGTTGAATATTTAATAAAATTATTAATGAAAGTCTCTCTCTCACTCTCTCTCTCTCTCTCTCTCTCTCTCTTTCCCCGATTACATATACGACAAAACAAATGAATGAATCAAATTATGGTGGATGGGTGGACAGATAGATGGACAGTTGGTTCATAGTAAGTACTAGACTTAGGCCTACCCGTGGACGCAGTGCGCTGCTGTCACTACCCACTCCTCGTTGACCAGTATGCCTCCACACACGTGCTGCTCCCTACTGTTAAGATGAAGAGAGACCTGCCAAGGCCATTCGTGCGCGTCAGCAGTGTCCCCTCCCACAATACGTGAGTTCCCCACCGTGCCGCAAGAGCCTTCGAGAAAATTGATTTTTATAAGAGTGTTTTCCTCACTAGATCATGAATGATTTAGTGCTCTGTGTGAATACTGATATCAGGAAGATTCAATAATACATGTGTTTTTGAAAAAAAAAAAATGCAAAAACATATAAAATTAAATACTAGTACAACGTAGTATGGCCGAAACCCTTTCACAATCATTAATTAATTAATTTATTGAATTCTCCCACTTTATTTATGTCTGATTTCCCAAGTTATTTGAAAAAAAAAACTAGTTATAATTTTATATTTACTAGGGCAGTATGTTTAGTTTGCCAGGAACAAAATGTCAAAGTCAAATATAATCAACAGCATTTCACATTGCATTGCAAACAGAGGAGAAATTCATTTAAGGTATTAGTCTTTACTGCGCAGCCATTCCAATTAGCATCGCCAGAGTGTTCATGAGAGAATGATGGAAAAGGTCACCCTCGTTAGATTCAGTTTTTCGTTTTGCTGTTAATGTCAATTTCAGTTAATTTAAATCCTTTTAATTGTTCCCTAGGATCCTGAAACTTGTAACACAATTACTTAGAAGCACGTGTTAAGCTGGTGGTAAAAGTTAAAATGCTGTGAACAAGCGTCGTGCATGTTCCAAGAAAATTCTCTGAAACCTAGTGCCTAGTATGTCTACTGGTACAAAAGTACCCTAAAGTATGTATCGTTAAGAACTCAACTGATGATTACTATTATTTGGCTACTTTAAAAAACATTCATACAATGCAAACAGCCGAAAGTGCCATTCGACGATAAAATGAGGAACGTTCCGTATCACCACCTGTCGGACAAGAAAAATTAATTGTTTCGTAAAACTGGCTTTATAAAAGCCCCCTGAAGTTATTATACGTACATGTACAGTAATTCTAATAAAGGAAGATTTTTATCCCAAAAAAGCTGTAGCTGTAGAAAAATAGCTAATAGACACTGAATAGTTTCCCGGCGGAGGATACGCGAAAAACTTTCAATTGGGTCGGCCATATTTGATCGGCAGATCTGTTAGTCCTGGGATCAACTTTGTGGTTGTGAATGCGGTGTTATTGAATTATTATTGTGTAGTCTATACTTCAGGGATCACGGAAAACACTTCTCTTATAAAGAAATGAGTTTGCAGGCTCTTTGAATGTAAGGGTGACTCTGGCCCATTCCATTCTAAAAGGAGCTCTTGGTTAATTATTTGGCGGCTCATTATCATCCCTTTGCTTAATCAGCCATTGTTAAAAACGATTTGAACGCGAGGCACAGTTATACTTGCCTTCGTAGATGGAATTCGAAGCTACAGTGGTTGAGTTTTTGGACGGCACGCAGCACACCTTCCCTGCCCTTCTGCACGTGTAGTTGGCGTCAACAATACCGTCACATGATCCCTGCCTCACGCATTTACCTGTGCCTCGGCATCGTAAACCTGAATAGAACATACGTGCGTCTTACGTTTGTAAAACTGCCACCTTACTGCCCCGTTTTAACTACTCTTTTACTTAAAACAGAGTTTTCTAGAGCAGATTCCGAGTTTTTCTTAAAGTAAATGGTTTTTAATATGAAAATGAAAACTGGATTTAAAATTTAAAATTGAATGCAAACTGCTCCCCTCTTAAATCGCATTGTGAAATTTGTTGAATTCCTTTTGCTGGACACGTGCCGCTAAACTTCGCATGCTTTAACTTTCATATGGAACTATTTAGAAGCCATATTATTGGAAGTAATAAGCAGAAGAATTAACACATACAATGAGCAATCTATAACATACCTTGTGACATAGGTGACAGCATTACTGCCAACGCTAGCGTTGTAAGAAACTTCATCGCTAGGTTTCTATTGTATCTCGGTATCTCAAAGTAATATTGTGTAAAGTTAACTTCTTTATATAGGGTCTATAAATGGGTGCACCCAGTAACGAGGGTTAGGACAGAGTGGGGGAATTATTATTTGAGAGGAAGATAAGTGTGTTTCAACATCTAAGGGCAGTAAAGAATGGCGCATTCACATGGTTATGGCTGTTACTTTATCATGCACATGCAATTATGCTATTCAAATTCGGTTCAGGAATTTCAAGATTCATACTCAGATTCTACACATTTTTTTTTATTTTTGACCAAAGCTGGTTAGGGTCTATACAACGTCAACAGTCGATGCCACTGCATTTTCGTTTTGGATATGTGTGTGAGTTGGAGGGGGGTGGGGGAGGTAGCACAAGGACCGTTAAATTTGCCTGGCTTCGCTCGTAATCGGCAAATATTCAGGAGAGTACAATTTTACTACATGTATAATATGGGTACTTTCTTTTGAAAAAATTGGAGCTTTCCGCAACCTATGTTGACCCAAATTGTTAGAAATAGCATGAAACATAAATAATATTTTAATTTAAAGAGAAAATTTGTATCTTTCATTTTTTTCATTATTAAGAACCAGCCGGCCGGCTACCTCCCCTCCTCCCCCCTCCCAAACTCATCTCTACCTCAACTCACGGGTAGTTCACTGATGTTGTTCAGGTCGAAAATATTAAAATTTTGACCAGGGTTTGCATGCATGTTGAACAGAGAGGGTGATCTTTACATTGAACATCCACAGAAAAAAAATATAAAATCTAATATAAATTAATCAAATTTTCAAGGAGAACGTTACAAAAGTTAATAGTTGCATTTGGCTCAACTGCACAGTAATAAATGTTGTAAAATGATTTATCAGCGACAGGTGCTAGCGTTCCACGTCCCAATTGGTCACAGTTAAGAAGGCTGCCTCAACGTGTGTCTGGGATGTAGAAAACATGTCCGATGTCGTCTGCCAGTCACTGCCATGTTTTCAGCAAAGATACGAACAATGTTGTATTCATACCTACCCTTCTTGTACTCTTGTTTTGTAACGATGAACTCGGGAAGTGCTGTAAGTTCTGTGGCATATAAGGGTGGCTTGAAACCTTTGTTGTTGACGCAAAACAGAATTCAGACGGCAAACATGAGGTGGGCTTCTGTGTGACCAAAGTTTCAAAGTGACAGTGAATTTTAACATAACCAATTACCAATTCTAGTTGATTATATCTGAGGACAAGAAATACTTTTTAGTCATATTTAAACAGATAAATACCATGAATTAAAGTCACAAAAAATAGTTTCAGTTACCAATGTCCTCAACCATCTTGAGTCTGCTGACACATCACGCACAGTCTTGAGGTCAGTAAGCATGGCGGGCTTTGAAAAACTACAGCTTTAGCAATTGGCTCAGTGCTCTTTTATATTTCCCAGATTGTCACTAAGTTACGGCGAGTGTCAGTTACAAAGATGAAAGAAATGGCTACAGAGAGTTAACAATCGCTAACCCCAGGAATGTTAGTTTAGTAAAAAATTTTTCTTAGGAAAAAAATATTTTTTATTATTAGCTTGGGAATTTCGATCGTGATGATAAAATTAGACATCTGTAACTCAAAAACGATTTTAAGGTTATTAATATCCAAAAGAATTTGGTCTAAGTGATAAAAATTAAATGTGCGCAAAAATCCACAACGCTTTATTGTTTTGCTACAAAAAGGTTGCATTGCATGCGTTTTTGTACGACTTCGTGGTTTATCAAGTGACTCACGTCACGTGCGGAAACGCGTGTCCATGGGAGTTTACTCTGGTGCCACATTGACGTGCTTTGCCTCACGCTAGCAATTTCCGTAGTTAAACCTTATAAATTCAAAGGGCAACTAAATGATATTTCCAGTATTATTATTAATCAGTGGCGGATTTAGGGGGTGGGGGTCCTGACCCCACCTTCGATTTCTGGTCCCCTCTTGAAATTAGAATTTTGACTAGCTGAATCATAGTTCTAAACAATACCAAACTGCACCGCTTACCCTCCAAAATACCAAAACTTTCGGGGCCCTTCAGCGGTTCCCGAACCTCAAGCCAAGTGGGGGTCTGCTTCGCATCCCTGGAAACCCCCCCCCCCCCCCCC